GGATGAGAACGACCAAAGTAAAAGACATACTACTTATAAAACTTGCCATTTTATCATAAACCACAGTGATTCATAAAAATAACTAATATTTGTACAAAAATAATAAGTGAATTAGCAACGGAAATTAACTTTTATACTCTATACTATCAAAATTAGATTATTATATGGGTAGTGTTTTCATATGATCTATATTTTAGCATAAATATTTGGCCGTCACACTTTCACTTACATTATTATAATATTGTTGACAATATAATATCAGTATTCATTATGACCATCCAATAAAAATGTTTACGTAATAAAAATAAAATACGTTTTGATTAATCGAAAAATATAGTTCAATAAGTAAATTATAATAATGTAAGATAATATATTTTCATAAAAATGATCTTCATTTAAAATGTTCTATCTTTACGGATCTTAATGCATGTTTTTAAGCAATTTATTTAGATTTAACGAAACCTGGTAACGGTTTTTCGTTATTTGTATTACATTGTTAATATTAAGTAAACTTTATGAGGATTAAAAACATAAATCTTTTAAGCAACACTATGTAAATTCAAAAGATAATACCAAATGTGTAATGGGTAGGTGTTAAAAATTAGGGACGAAGCTGAAAAACACACTGTTTATAAAAATCATAAACTAACATTAAAATCATCCAAGCGAAAATCCATAGGTTGTTTATTGATTTTTATTAAATGGATAGACGATTTTATTGACAACATAATATTTTAGTATCAATATGAATCATCGCGCAATTATTATGATACAAAGAAAAAGTAATAATATTATTACAATACATGAATACGTAACAATAGGATAGACATATTGGTAATTAATTTTTAACTTTATTAGTAGGAACGTACCTATTTTTTAATTTAAATTATTTTTTTTTATCTATTAAGACTCTTGAAAATACAGTTATGCTGATATTTTTTTACAGTTTATATTATATAGTCAATAAATATCAAAAAATGTATGATTTAATTGTTGAAGATTTTATTTTTATATTTTGTTAATAATACTATGTAAATAAGTTAAATACGGGACTATAATTATTACTAATATTAGCAAGACAAATAACTTTAATATATTTACATAACGTTAACTCAATCGTGTTTTACTATAAACAATTAAAAATTAAAAACAATAAAAACAAACTAGTTTTTTTTTTTTAGTATTAATTAACTTAGAATTTAGTTATCTTATTATAAATTTACATTGAGTTTCAAAATTAAAATTTTAAATTGAATAATAATACTATAAAAACTATAATTGATAAAATATGCAATTTATAATCTAAATAGAAGCGTTTGGAATCAGAAAATAATAATAGACTGCACAGATTCCATAGTTGTTTATTATAACTTATAACAGACCAGTACATCAGAAATTATGTATTTTTAAAACGTTTTGATTTATTTAAATACAGTATATAGATTATTTAGTATTTATTTCGTGCTGGTCGTTTTATTTCATAAACTTATGATATCCAACATTTTTATATTTAAGTACTCAATAATTTTGTTTCATGATTAAATTTGAGTAAGTAAACGATATTCACACTTCATATTTTTTTTTTTTAAACACTGCAATTATAATACATTATTGATTAAAATTTTAAAATGGCCTAATGCGAATAAATTATATTATTTACATATTATTAGAAGGTAATTTTTGTTAATATATATATACCTAATTTAAAAAGCTTTAATAATTTAATAAAATTTAAATTTTAAATTTTTTCCAATATAAACAAACTTATCTTATAAAATATCTTATAAAAACAAAATATATATAAATACCAATGATTACATCGGTGAGTTCTTAGTTTTATTGACCGTGTATAATTTATTAGCACAGGAGAAAATATTTTAAATTAACGTTTTCATATCACGTATATTCACAAAGGTCCATAAACAAAAGCTCGCAAAATACCAACCGTCAGTCCACATATTCATATTATGTAGGTATCTACATTAACTATCAGAATTATTGATGTTTAGAAACTACTAAATTGGTATGCAAATACCGCACATCGGTGTGACAAATTTTAATGATTTCAACAGTGTGTACAGTATATTAATTAATTGAAAATAAATCTTTTAGATGAATGTAATTATTTTAAAGCAAATGTTATAGATATATATATATATATATATTGAAAATAGTTAATGACTGAAACATCGCAACTAATGATGATTAAAATGTAGTAATAAAAAATAACGACGAAGAATGAACACCCATTATGATTTATATCACGCGTTTATATTAAATCGTTTTGAAGTATCAATAACTGTTTTAAAGGATTGATGGATAGAATTGAATTCTGTTAACTATAGTTATAGTCTACATTTACCACACTCTAGTTATACTATAGTTGCATATGCTATTTACATATTTTTATAAGATAAATCGCCGGCAAAACCAAGAAATAGAATTTCAGTTTTTTATAACTTTATGAATCAATAATTTACAAATGCAGACTGATCCTAATCTAAATTTTAATTTTAAGCTTTATATTATAAAGTAACTTACAATTTATGAACGAATATGACAACAATATATGCTGCCAAAAATAAAATTATTAAAACTTTTAACTATTACAATGTATTGAAGATAGTTTAGTTTGAGTTAGGTATGGTGTTCTTTTTAGTTTTAAGTAGGTTGCGAACAGACATGGTTGATTTATTATGAAATTATGCATCTGAAAAACAAATTATGCGCCTATACGTCTTGTCGGTCTTAACACATCAAACTTTGACCATCACTCCTTTTTTTATGATTTTTTTTTTTTTTTTTTAACTTATTTTTACACTCAATTATTTAAATAACATTATAAAATATTAAGTGCTAGCTACTAAACCATTAACATTTGGCTTTGAATTTTTCATATCGTAATAAGTAGTGATACTGAAGACGAATAAGACATTACCTGACGTATTTTTACAACAAGTATAATTATTTTATAATGTGCATTCAACGCCAACGTATCACGAATCGACTAAATCTCATCGTACCTTACAATCATACTAAATATTTATGACTCGGAACTCTAATCGATCTTCATGTACTTTTTTTTCACATTGTTAGTATCTGCATTTTAGATGGACGACGATTTTACGCCGATTCATGGGTCTAGCGAAATATTCAATTGATAATATTGTAACGTACCTATACGTATAGCCTAACGGGATCTGAAACTCGCGTTTTACTAATAAATATAACACAGTATAGTTGTATAATACGTATACGATGATGCAGTGTACATAACAATAATATTATTGTAATTACAAAAACCACATAATATTATTATACTCGGTTATTCACTAAGCACGTGTTCAGTAGTTTAACCGGGATTATGTAAAGGGGGATAAAGTATAAATTAAACTAAGTTTTTAACAATTTTCGTTAGGTTTGACGCTCAATTGAACTATTTAAAAACTAAGTTCAGTTGTATATATTATACAATAAATATGTAATATAAGCACCCCGATATGAAATTTATTTATTTTTTGTCCATAGAATCGTACATAAAAAACCAAATATTATGAACATGACTATAATATTTACTATTTATCTACAATAAACGTATTTTACTTGTTTTGTATAATAATTGATCCAAAACGTCTTTTGATTGTAATAATTTTTCCTTATAAATATCAAAAGTTTTTGAATATCATGATATAAATAAACGGTTTATCAAATATCGTGATTATATATTGTAGTCAATCTTCATCGTGTTCACATTTAATAACCATAAATCATATTTTAAATCATGGTCATAATTACAGCGTTGTCGAAAACCCGTGGTAGTTAAAATGATAATTATTATTATTATAAATCTTGTTTTTGGACAAATTCTAAGAAATATTTTGCTTTTATTTATAGACTAACGAATGTAATATTTTTTTTACAAAAAGTAGGTATTAGAATTAATGAAATATACAATAAAATTAATAATACATTTATTAGGAGAGAAAGATATTGAGGTAATTAAACACCCATAACCCCCCGACTACGCCACTACTCATAATCAGCCCTATTTTTCCTTTAATTATGAATTAAATTGAAATTCCAATTTTAGAATTTTTAAATATACATTTATAAAGTATAAGCACAAAATTACAAAATCTTAAAAACTTTTTACGCTACTCAAGGAGTGTCCTGTGGCGATATAGACTTCGCTATTCAAATAACTATGGCCTCTTGATTTTCTAACCCAACCGGCCTAGACCAACATTTTCGGAAAAATTATCTGCTAAGAAATTTACAGTAGGTATAAATTATAGAGTTCTCGTTTGAACAACAGAAGTCTGTACTCCGCTGGACACGAGAAAATTCAGTGAATTTTGAAAATGTGGTCAATATCGGTCAAATTTTGAACAAGTACCTACTCGATGAATGAAAAAAAAAAACAAGGGATGCGCGTGCTATTTAGGTTAGATCAGGTCAACCGTTCTGTACATCGGTTGTCTTATCGTACACGACAATCGCGTAATGAGAGTGTTATCACCGCGGTAACCGACACGACAGATTAAACAGTCGTACGTCAATGTCTGCAACAGCGTTCATTACGGAGGATGACGTGTACGACAAAAAAAAAAAAAAAAACGCCGATAAATCCTACGCAAACGGATCGCGGACGACGATCGATTCCAAAGCGTTCGCGGGCGATGTGCGATCGTGATGACCCGTCGCGATTTGAATTTTTAGCGACACAGAGCGCCCCAAACATCGTGAACGGATTCCCAACAGTGCGGGACCGCAGAAATCGACGAAACGGAAAGTGGAAAAGGAAACGGCCGTCGTCCGAGACACGCGGGCCGCGTCGTTGCGTAATAAAACATAATAATAATATTATTACGAAGCGCGCGCCAATAGCCGGGAGCACGTGGTAACCGGCAACTTATCTCCTCCCCCCACCCGTCCCGCCGCCCCGACCGCTGCGAGACGGCTAGTTGGCGGCAGTTTGCATCAATCGCGCGCGCACGTACCGGGTTGGATGCTGCTGCCCAACGACGCGCAACTAAACCGCCGGCCGCCGTCGTCGTGGTCGTGGTCGTGGTCGTGGTCGTGGTCGTCGTCGTCGTAGTCGTCGTCGTAACCGTAACCGTCGACGTCGTGGACGACGTTGCCGCCGTCCACCACGCCGTCGCTTTTGCTCTCGCGACCACCGCCGTCCGTCGGCACACGGTCCCAGGCGGCCGCCGCGTCTTCGTCGTCGCGGCCGACCGACGGGCCGGACGGCGCCGCCGTCGGCTGCACACGCGTCGCGGACGACGACGACGACAACTGCGACAACGGCGACGGCGTCGACGGTTTGCTGCCTCCGCGGACGGGCGCCGTCCATCCTTTCTGCTGGTTCTGCCGGTGCCGTTCGATGATCATCGTGTACTTCTCGACCAGGCGACACACTGACGGGAACGGCGGCAGGGCCTGTCGCTGGTCTCCGCTGTACACGGCCGCCACCGCGGCCGCGCCGGTGCGCCTACCGCGGCGCCGCCGACATTCGTCCGCCGGCGATGACGACGACATGAGTCCGCCGCGTCGATCGCGTCGACTGCGATCCGTCTCCCGGACGGCCGCGGCCGCCTCCAGCACCGCCGCCGCCGCCGTTCGCGCGACGGCGACGACGACGACGACGACGACGATGACCACCACTACTACCACCGCCACCACCACCGCGACCACCAGCGCCTCCAACACCGCAACCGCCACCGGTGCCGCCGCCGCTGCAGGTACGACGTCGCGACACTAAGACTCGGGACATCGGTCCGACCGCCGCTGCAGCCGTAGCCGACCACCGTGGCCGCCGGCACCACACATGTACGACCGCCGCCGCGCACTTTCTCCTTTATCGCCGCCGACGCAGCCGATCGCGTGTTGCGAGACGCGCACGTGTGAGTGACGAAAAAACCGTTACTAAACAATTATTATATTATTGTGACTGTGGTTATTGTACGTCACG